GGTAGGCTACATTTAGGATGTAACAAATGGAGCGTCAGACTAAAGCCTGCTATCCAAACGCAGCCTTCCTCCATGAAATTTTTTATTTTTTTGATGTCGTAGTTATGACTTATGACATCTTTTTCCATTATGACATCTTTTCCCCCTGCAATTTGGTCACTTCAGATTATCCCAAAATTGAAACTTGGAATTTGAACTTGCCAACCCTTTTGGATAATAGACTGGTGGCGTATTTGAGTCATCTCAATTGACTTTTGCAATCTGTAAAAATTAGTTGGTGTCAAGTTGTTTATGTGATTTGTATGTGGATAGACTTTCATAAAATGAAACTTATTCATATGATATATTAAAAAGTAAATTTCATTTGTGTTGATTTAGGGGTATAAAGAACATTTGCTCTTGCTCTGATTGTACTGGAACTATCACCCTTACTATTAGAGGGTGTGATAGCAATGATTCTTCTCGATACTTAGTAGATGAGATTAGATTGCTAATCCGCAAAGATTGGTAAGTTACTTTTGTACATGCTCATAGGGAAGCTTTGATTCTAATTGATTGCTTTGCTAAAATTTCTCATGGCATAGGTGATCCTTGATCACCCCCACCTCTTAATGAGGAGGTGGATGTTGATGAAGGACCATATGATCTTTTGATTTTGTTTTTCAACTCACCGTTTTTAAAAAAATAATTTTAAAAAGTTCAAATACATAAAAGAAAAAGCAGGAAGAAAAGGAAAAAAAATTGCTTTAGCAACTAGCTTTTGAAGAAAAAAAATCAATCGCCCTCAATGCTATGTTAAATACCACCTCCGATCCTTGATATAAAACTTGTTTTACTTTTATTTTGGTTCTTAATATAAGATCTCAATTTATTTTTTGCCTCATATTTATCTATTTTTTCTTCTAAGGTAGTCTTTATAATAATAGTAGTTCTAATTAATACACTTGATTAGTAAGGATATTTTAGAAAAAACAACACATATTTATTACAAATAACTAATTTAACTAATTTTTTTAATCTATTCAAATTACCTAACTAACTCTTATATTAAAAACTGAAGCTATTTTTTTTTTTGTTGCATCCATCTAACTTTTTTTTTCTGTCCTAAGTTCTAACTAAGTTCTAAGGTTTCCTAACACTATCCCAGGCATACACGCCAGTATAGACCTTGAGACCCATAAATAAATAATAATTCCGATAATTTTAAGGAACGGTTTGTAAATTGTAATGTTAGTATTACTATATTACTCGAAAAGAAGCATCTCCTAATAGTTGACAAGGGAATCAAAATGAAAGAGATGTGGTAATAAATGAAGGGCAAGGAGAACTTGGTTGGTACCAAACAGCAAAGGCCATTTAAGAAGTGGCAACTAACTGCTTTCAAATTTATTCCCTTTTACCCAAACAGTGTTCCACTCTCCACAACACCAACTCTACTTTTCCTTATTCATTCATTTGTCATTCAACCCCATTTATTATCCTTTTCCTTCCACCACGACAATAACAACAATAACCAATCAAGGCTATGCACTCTAGGTATCTCAGATCCAATCAATGCTAAATCTTAATCAATAGTTTTTATATGTAAACTTCGGATGTTTGGGTGTGCGCGCGGACATCAATATTATGAAAAGATTTGCATAAAAGTACTTTTTTTTTTAAATATGACTTTAGAACATTGGTGTAGCAAAATGAGTGATAAGATAAAAAGAGTATCAATAATCAACCACTCATTGTTAACATGTAGTAATTTCTACTATTTTAACAGTCTAAACAACAAACAGCTTTTCATCAATCTTCGTACTGAAGATAATGATAATAATAATAATGAACCACTCGAAGGCCTAATCTCAACTAATGTTACTGAACACGGAGAAACTGAAACACAACAAGAAATGTTACTAGTAATTAGAGTTTAATTACTTAGTTAGTACCATATAAGAACTCACCAATAAAGTGTGTGGCAGGTGTTTCAGACCCAAAAAGATTGCTGTTATTCTGCAGTCTGCAGACCATCAAATTGTCGTACTTGGTTTTTTTTTTTTTCCTTTCCTGGTTGCTTTTTAGATTTTGAGTTAATAAGAGATTGAAATAGAGAGACTGACTTGTGTGGCTTGTATTGAAAGCCAAGCAAGCGAATGTCAGGAGAAAGCAGGAAGAGAGAGAAAGAGCTACTCCAATGAGTCCCTTTTTTTCCTTCTTGGTGGCGAGCTGTCAAAATGATAATAATGAAACTTACTGATGAGCTTTTTAACAGTGCCGCAAGAAACCAGAAAGATTCACTTGCTTGTGCAGTAAAAATCTCTCCTCGCCAATCCAAAGATTGTAATAAGAGTAACGCAATCAAGACCTTCAGTCTTTGGGAATCGTAAGCTCATCTGCTGCTCGCCTTCCTTTCTCTCTCCCCCCTTCTTATAAATTCAACCCAATAATGTAACTGTAAGTGTCATCCCTGGCCTCTCATTGTGAGTTACCATAATACCACCATCACTGTCATTATCATATATCTTCTTCTTCATCATCACTTTCATCATTGCCCCATTTGAAAAGAATCACACAGAACAAACATGAAGGGAAGATTTTGTTGTTTCATGCTAGCTCTGCAACTAGTGAGTTGGGCTTCTACAGCAAGAACAATACCTCCAGGTTAGTCACCTAAAGGATCTTTTCAAGATTCACTATTACTCATCTTTCTGATACACTCGTGGATTTGTTCATAACCACTTGTATCTCCTTGCTTTTAACAGGTCCAGAACTGGCTCCACAATCTTCTCCATATACTCGAGAACCAAAACAGGTATAGTTCTTTTCTACAATGTGCCTGTCAAGAGCAAGAAATTTTTAAGCGCATAGAATTTCTTGAAGCAGCAATCTCAGACTGGTTCTTCTAACTTCTACTGAATGTTATATCTGTTTTTCCCTCTGGTACAGGATTTGATATCAGAGACTGTGAGAGAAAAATATATTACAGGAGTTAGCAAAATAGGGTCAACCCCACCAATTTGTGAGCATAAGTGTAATGGATGTACACCATGTGAAGCCATTCAAGTGCCCAGCACCAGCAGGCAACACAACCATGTGGGAATCCAATACGCAAACTATGAGCCAGAGAGCTGGAAATGCAAGTGTGGCCCTTCTACCTACAGCCCCTGAACATTTTGTTCATACATACTACTACTCTTCTTTGGGCCTCATTTTTATTGTCCCTTTGTACAAACCTTGAGTTCAAGAGTAATCCAAAGTAATTTAAGAAACTCATCATTGTGGCTGCTGCTACAATATCAGTGCCTATCTGCTAACCAGTTTTAGGCTTTAGACTTGCCAGTTTCCACTTAATGCGCATGTCGTTCAAACACTAACATTTTTGAGATAGAGCTAATTAAATGCAAATGATATGCATTAACAAATACTAGCTAATAAGGCATGCATTGATATCTATGGATATGTCAGGTCTGAAAACAAGTTGAAAGAGAAATGAGGGAGAAATCTTGATCCACGATACTTAAAAAGGTTTATTCATTTTGCATTATTGCCTCTCTCGCACCTTCTTTCTCTGGATGAGTCTGAATGTAAAAAGGAAAAGACTTCTGATATTTGTCATTGTACTTCCGAGTTTCATTAACCAAATCAGGACTTTTAACAGAACTGACCAGACATCAGGAAAAAAACAGAAAGATAATCTTTTCACGTTACCCATAAGAGTTATGCCTAACGGTTGGTGACTGTAATTAACAAGTAGGACGTAGAGGTTAAGAACTTGGAGAAATTCTTGGTATCAATTAATATTTTAAATTGGTTGTCCCCATTATATATTATATATGCGGGTGTGTCGATTTAATATATCAGTAAAACCAGCTAATCCTTGAAAATTTATACGATTAAAAAGTGTAAGGCAAACATATATATTACATCACCATCTATATTGCAAAATACGTAGTTACATTGATAAGCTCTGGCCTATATCGTTCGTTAGGGTTCAGTTAGTACATCTTTGATTAAGGAGAAAGTTTCTTTTCTTGGGGAAAGAGCTGAAGGTTTTCGAATCTCTGCCCACTTGACTTGAACACTAATCAGTTATAGCTGGAATGAGCTTAACTTTATTGATAAGAGAGAGCAGCCAATGGATGAACCAAAAACATTCTTTTAACGTAAGGCGTAAGCGTCAACCAAAACATTCTTAAACAAAACAAAAGCGTCCAAGTTGTTAAGAGGCATTGCTGAGCACACTTGTGATGCTTCCAATTTTTTGAATTCTTTATGTTTCTAATGAGCTTTAATGCTCTTGCAGTCCACATTCGGTTATGCTCTTTTTTTTGGCTGAGCATGGCCTCTGTTTATATTTTCATTCTTTGATCTTTACGAGAATTTCCCTTCTCCTTTAAATGAAAAATTTAGTGGCCCTCTCTAGCAAGAAGGAAATACTTGAAAATTTAATCTTGGCAAAATGTTGGTTTTTTTTGAATGGGGGTTTGAAATTGTGCTATAATTTATATAACAAGTCCCGGTTTGGTTGACCACTTAGCTAAGCTTTCTCATAATTTGGATAATTTTTTTTAATATCTTTGATCACCATCCACTGTTTTTAGAAGAGGCGAACGGTGATGAAAAATTGGCCTGATGGCTTGATTGTTTTGTTGATTTTGTAATGAATTACAGTTTCAATTAAAAAACACTCAGTCAGGTGCAAAAGTGAAAAACTTTCAAAAATACATAAACCTGGTCAATACTGGTAAGCCGGATACCAGATTTTACATAAAAATGTGATTTATAAACCAAATTCTTCCACTGAATTGGGGGCGGCCATCATTAACAACGGAGAACTGCCCCAGCAACTCATAATCAATTGCTACCCGGGAGACAGAACATTAACAGTCAGATACAGACCTTAATCACAAGCGCGAAGCGAAGGACATTTAATTTCAGAATTGTGCTGCTTTTAACATATCTTTTCGATAAGCAAAGCTTCCAAATTGTAATCTCATAAAGCATCCCAGGTAAAGTGAGATTCAGAATACAAAACAAACTGAAGGCATCGTTAAAGCATGTGTTCATTTTATGTTTTCCATACATTACAATCTCCGTAAGTGAAAGTTCATCAATGACAAATCCCCGAGGACGGATTCGCAGTACTTAAAGAAATGATATCCCTGACCCCTTTTTTCTATTTATCCTACTTTAAAATCAGTTCTTGGCCTTGACAGAGTTATTCTCTTTGATTCTAGCTCGATTGTCCAGCTTGACAAAGCGTTTTAGATCTGCATAAGGAAGTGTTTCAATGTTCTTCCTTCTCAATTCACTTAACGCTGGGCGTTTATCAAGCAGGTGCCACAACCAGTCAGGGTATTCAGAATCAGGCAGTATCTTCGGATCTGCTCCATCCTTGAGGATGTTGGCACCAACTACTGTAGTTGACTTGACTTCTTTGCTGAGTGTTGACGCTTTTGGTGCATCAGTTGCAGCACCCCCTTTAGATCCTTTCTTTGCCTTACCAGTAGCAAACGTTCGATGGGAAGCAACTCCAACGGCCTCCTTGCTAACAAGGATGCCTCTTACCAATCTGGCATGGTTCATTGCCATGACTCTAACTATCTCTGCAACATTATTAATATAATTAATTTTAAGAAGGAAGAATTATGCATATCTAAATTTGGTTGAACATTAATACAAATATGTATAAATGGACCAAATTTTGAATTCATTTCACCTGCTAAAAGTAACTTTTATATAACTACTTGCTCAGAATCCAAAATCCTACTTTCTCAAGAGATGTATAAGGGGCCTTCAACCTCGATTCCAACATTCCTTATAAATGGATTCAACAAAAGGGTGACGTAAACTAAAAGATAAACTTTAGGTATTTTGCCATCAGGTTTCTTGACGCCATTGTAACATATGGAAGGACTTCCATTAAACAGTCAATAACGTGGTGCAGAATTGTAAACAAGCATCCATACATTATATTTTTATCAAAAAATCTCACAACAAATGCTTAATTAACTCAGACAGTTTTATTGGCCAAAGCGAAAAAGTCGGGCAGTTTTGTGCTAAATTAAAACTGTCAGCTACATGCCACATCAGTAAATGAACTTGCAAATTACAATGAACCTATGGAATGTCACGACTTCATAATAGCTGTTTCCACATGAAGATAAACTGATCTAAGGCCCATCCCTCTCTGTCCTCACAATACAGTAACTGGCAAAATATCCCCTCTATATCAATGTTATGCGCTACACTTGTAAAACGTTCTCAGAATTCACAATTAATTCTTCAGCAAAGTCTGAGAATCAACACCTGATATTCCCTGATAAGAGAAACACTATATGCATTCTTCTATAGATGTGTTCAACATTTAATAATAGTATCATAAACAAAATCTGAGGAAAATGTTTTTAACCGAAAATCACCCTTAAATGTGGATCACTGCAGCAAGATTAAATTTTGGACCCACAAGTATAGGCAAGAGGCATCTGCCCCCACTAAAATCTTTGGAATGCGCATTAGTTGATATCATACCCTTCAATTTCTTTTTTCAACTATACTTTAACGAATATGCCTTAGTAAGCCAACTGACCCAGGCACCTCCTCCCAAGCCACTGCAGAATGACAATGACAAACTCTTGCAATTTATGATCATGAAAAACACTGCCTAGAGTGAGTAAGGAGAGCAATTGATTGCTCCTGTTAAAAGCTTCTAAATTCACAGACCAACGAGCAGGAAATGATTTGAACTTGATTTTTCAAATTGGCAGGCACATATCGAGCCAAGTCAAACCAGAATACCTTGAGAATTTTCCATATTAATGATAAGATAAGGATATTAATAAACAGAATGCCAGTGCACGAGAAATCCAACAATGCACAACAATAAAATCCAAAGCACATAAGTCGCTAGTGATCAAAATGAAGAGGGCAGAAGTATAATAGCAAAACCAGTAACATTCCCACATTCAAAAGCGTCAATATTCAAACGATTACACAACATCATCATGGCCAGGTCAAAATAATAAGACTAAGACCAAGCTGCAACGGCGTCCGACAAACCGATGAAAACTCCGCATGGAACGGATGACACGGGGAACAAATTCAAATATAGATTAAAAGCCAGATTGAACGAATCAATCTCACCGGATTTTGGGAGAAGACAAAGACCTAGGGTTCGAACCGTCTTCAAAGCTTGCCGAGGAGCTGACAACGGTGGACGGCGTCCGACGGCGAGCTCAATCAAGCACTGGAATGCTTGCTCCCTAGTTGCTACAGCACCAGGGGAGGCTTGAATCGTTTTTTTTTTAGCATACAACTCAAGGCTGTGGACATTTTAAGCCCACTATTGACCAAAAAGGCCCAATTAAACTTGCTTTCAATTTTTGGATTTTGGGCTTAGGCCCCGCTGGTTTATAAATGTCGGGTTTTGTTCTGGGGGGGGGTTTGGGGGGAAGTTTCTCACCAAAATAATTTCATTCCTGCGCTTAAATTGCAGAATAACAATTTACAACTTACATGGTCTTTCATCTAAAATCAAAGAGTACGTATAATTGATCCTCTAATAAATTCAGTTTTCATAGATAATTTATAATATTTAGTTAAGTTTGCTTAACTCAAATTCTATCTTGTCACCACTTTTTTTTTATTTTTATCTTCACCTTCATGTCATCAAAATTGCCCTTGTGAGCTTTTTTTCTAATAAGGAAGGTATAAAACTTGAGAAAAATATAATAATAGGCTAGATTTTGTGTGCTTCTTATGATAATATAATAATAGGCTAGATTTTGTGTGCTTATTATGATAATATAATAATAGCTGTTATTTGTGTGCTTATTATACTGTACATTTTGTAGCAAAATCAATTATTCTATTTTTTCCTTATTTTTTAAAAACTTCGTAATTAGATTTTGTGTGCTTATTATGATAATATAATAATAGCTGTTATTTGTGTGCTTATTATACTGTACATTTTGTAGCAAAATCAATTATTCTATTTTTTTCCTTATTTTTTAAAAACTTCGTAAATTAGCTTGGGTTGAATTAAAATTGATACCCTCTAGGCTATTTTCAAGGTGAAAACTAGGCCAATTTACTATTTTAGAGCAACAATTCTGTATTTACCGAATTGCCCTCCTTTACTACCGCGTAACGACCCCGAATTCCATCACCCTAACGGATTTCCCTGCCACAGGAACTGTTAACTCTTCTGCTCTCAGAAATGGCGCCCCATGTAAGTGTACATTTATCTCTCTACAAAACTCCATTCAAGTTATGATCATTTTCATACGTCTCACCCCTTCTTTCTCATCATGATCGGCGCATTAATCCATGCGATAGCTGAAGATGGCAGATGTTGAGATGCATCTGCAATTTCCTGCCCAGTTCAGTTAAACAAAGGAATGAAAATTTCAAGTTTTTAATATTAGAATCGATCCTCAATACAAAGGCACATTCATTTTATTCCTATAAGTTAGGAATTCATCGTAATTTTTATTCTGTTATGGTTTCTTTTACTCGCTTGGATCTTGACTTGATTAAGAAGTTGAATGAAGAAATCTGGGAATTGGGTTTAAATTTGAGATGTTTTGTTTCTTGTCATTTCAGAATTCAGATCGCTTAAAAACATTCATCATGTGATCGACAAGTATTAATCACTGTTTGATTTAAAGCATTGGTTTTTTTAAGCGAACCAATCTTTCACCCATTTATAAAGTTGTATTTGGGGCTTTATCAATTTGTCCAAGCCGGAAGCACGGCACTGCACGGGTAATAAGAGAATTAGTGATAGACAAAGAGGTTCATTCTTCTCTTCAATGCACTGTAAAATCTACTAGTGAACACTCTCATCCTTATTATAAGGCACTTTCTAGAAGGAACGAGTGGTTCTTATCATAAGTCATTAAGTGGAGTATTAATTATATTTTTTCAAGACTGTTCCTATTTAAAGTTTGATTCAATTTTCCTTTTTGCTTCTCAAGATACAATTCATGGTTTTAAATAAAAGGTAAGTTTGGAAAACATCATTTTAAACAAGTTTAATGACTAAACCAACTCTTTTCAGTTCTGGTGAAATAGTCGAAAGTGTTTGTAATAAGGACTAAAATGGTATAGCTAGGGCTCCAATATTCACGTGGAATGGCATATAATTTCAGGTTGCTCTGTATATCTTCTTGGATCTAATGAAAAATTCATTGGTTGCAGCCTTCTTGGATGGTGCCTTTATGCTTGTTATTTTCCACTCTTTTACATGAATTGGTGTGTTTTTTCATCTATAGGGAACGTCTCCAATCATCAAGAACATTCTTATTCTAGACTCGGAAGGAAAGCGTGTAGCTGTCAAGTACTATGCAGATGACTGGCCAACCAACAGCTCCAAGTTAGCATTTGAGAAGTATGTGTTTAATAAGACTATAAAGACAAACGCTCGATCTGAAGGTATGTCACACAAGAGTCTTTCACATTTCAGAAGGCACACTTTATAACTAGTCCTGAAGGTCAACGCTGTTACAGAAATTGATATACTTGCCAGCATAAGTTCTTGTGCTGAAATGATCTTTGACAAAAACCTTCCTTTTGTAATCGGCATTTACTTAGGATCAACCTGAGCTTTATGATTCTTCGTTATCTGTTACTATTGTCAGGGTCGAAAGAATCAAGTTCTTTTTGTTGGTCATGGTTTTCCATGACTGATGTATAATTTACAATGTCTGCAGCTGAGATAACTTTACTTGAGAGCAATATCATTATCTACAAATTTGTACAAGATCTGCATTTCTTTGTGACTGGAGGTGATGATGAAAATGAGCTCATCTTAGCTTCAGTTCTTCAGGGTTTCTCTGACGCAATCGCCCTGCTATTAAGGTTTTTTTTTTTTTTTGGCACTTGCCATATTTTGCTATATAGTCTTGATCATGCTGCCATTGTGGCTCATGCTTTTTCATTCTGTATTTCTCTGTGTCACTTCCTCAGGAACAACGTTGACAAAAGAGAGGCCCTCGAGAACTTGGATCTTGTTCTTTTATGTCTTGATGAGATTGTTGATGGAGGGTATGCATTTGTTTCTTGGCTTCAATCTTTCATTGTCATATAAATTAAAGTCCTTGTCTGTTTCATCTGAATTCTGATGAAAGTCTGATGTTTTCCCCCCTCTCATTCAAGGATGATACTTGAAACAAGTGGATCACTTATTGCTGAAAAAGTGACTTCCCATAGCTTGGATGCTGATGCCCCCTTGTCTGATCAGGTATCACAACTAACTTTCAGCTTTAATCTTCGTTAGCTACTCAATTATGACACGTAGATTATTGCTCTAAAATAGTCAATTATATGATTACTGACTTATGAATCAATGTTCATGTCCATGTTTTATATTTTTATTGGAGAACTTAATGAAAACGTAAAAAAAACACTAGCTTCATGTTAGCTTAGTCTATTGAATTTACATGAAAATGATATAAAATTTTCCTGACAAACCAGAAGTTGCTAGATTACTTCATTATGGTCCTATAATGTTAGGATGATAGAAGACAAGTTTCTTCAATCTGAGATGTGACATTGAATTTATGGCTTTGCAGACACTAACTCAAGCTTGGGCCACAGCCAGAGAACATTTGACCAGAACCCTTCTGAAATGATGTTTTCACTTGCTCAAATGAGAGAGTTGCCTACCTTTTTCCATCAGTTTTATTTCCTTGCCTTTTAGTGACAGCTTTTAACTTTTTATTCCCCAGTTTACTGATGAGCTTACCCAGATACGAGCTTCATACGTCTTTTCTATTCTCATCCAAAATAACCAATTAAAGTTCACCTCCTACTGGAACCTAAGTGTAGTATGTTTGTTTGCTTCTTGGTAATCGGGTTAGTCTATCATCTTTTGTACACCAAACTGATGTAAGAATTTCTCACAAATTATTGCAATATCCAATTCATATGGTATTCAACTTAACACGTTGCATTCTCATTGCAATAGCCAGCATCTGCGGTATGCAAGATTTTGTCCGCCCGAGACACTACAGCATGGGCTACGGGCCCAAAAACTACAATGTGATTTGTGAATTGGACCGTGTGGCCCACTTTCTCAGGCACAACTCATCTGAAAACTATAGAAAATCCAGCTTGTCTGAGATCATGTTTTATGCTTATTCTATATGTAAAAAACGTGTGCACTTCTCACCACCTAGGAACCAAAGTTCTGATCTATATTAAGAAAGCTACTTATATTTAGCGTTTAACAGTGTCTCAAACAGTTGTGACATCCGCGTCTAGTTTCTTAAACACGTAAATTTAGTAGGTCATAAGGTTAACATATAAATTTTAGCTTTTTAAAAGGGAAGAAAAACATGGAATGGGACAGTTGTGAGGAAATTGGGTGCAACGGCCGGTGGTTGACCAGCTCAGAAGAGAACTTTATTATTGAACAAGTGGAGCCAGGGATGATTAGTTGGTGTTTCATGGTGTTTTAGGTTAGACCTAGGAAGGTCCATGTGTCCTAATCACAAGAAGAAGAAAATTAACAAAGATTGTTAAGAATTCAGAAGAATTGTGCCTGAAATTGAAGACTGAAAATCATTATAATCCTCGTCATGTTCTCTTTTTCTTGGCATGACGTTCAAGATTCGCCTAATTTCTTCTAATTTCCTCTTCCTTCCCCACTTGCTTGACTCCATCTTCAAACCTCATATTCCTACGCGCTTTCAAATTAAGCTAATAGAATCTAATGGAATCATACTTCCTGTCCATTTGGATTAATTGTGAAAACAATTAGTTTACGTTGTACTTACGATATAAAAATATTTAAGAATAAGTTTTGTCTTGTAAAACACAGAAGTAATTATTTTAAGTTTTCCTTATACATTGATCATTTTCATCTCGCCGTTATTTTAAAAAAGCTCATCCTGATCTTCATTTTTTTTCCTCTATTTTTTTATGATAAAAATGAATGTAATTTTTAATTTGTATCTCAAAATCTTCAATAGAAATTATTGATATAGTCAATAATTCAGCACTTGTTTAAAAATCAGAAGTATTTAATTTAGTACTCACGTTAACTTAAACAGATAAATGTTTCTGTCTTTATTAAAATGATAATACTACCTCCGATTATTAATATAAGAGTTAGTTTGACATTCAATTTAGTACCAAATATAATATCCTAATTTATTTTATCTCTCATATTTATCATTTTTTTCAAAATAATCTCTGTAACATTTGTACATGTTAAGATTTCGTCATATGGTAATTCTAGCTAATACAAAAATTAGCAAGAGCATTCTACGGAAGACAATACCTATTTACTCTAAATAACTAATATAAATAATTTTTTTAATCTTTCCTAATTAATTAATTAGGTTTTATATTAAGTTCGAGAGGCATTACATGTTTAAAACGCTGGTATCAATTTTTTTTTAAAAAAAAGTCATTAAAAGTCATGTATGAAAAGGAAATCCAATAAATTAAATATTAGGCCATTGGCACAACGGATAGTTGACACTTGACGCCGCACGAATAACGCCAAATATTTATTTTGAAATTTTGAACTGTCCAGTTGTGCGATGGGCCCTGCACTTTTGTTTTCTAGTCCATTTTCACATACAAGCGGTTAATTAATTAATTAATTACTTAATTTAAAATAGTAGCTCTTATTTTAAAAAAAAAATCATTATTCCATGGACTGCATGATTGATGAGATGCCATTCTAAATAATACACTTCTATCAACACACGTTATCTCTTTGCAGCATAAAGTTGTCCTCGGAATCTTAACTCTTAAGCAGCATTATCAGCCTAAAAGTCTCCCAAATTTTATTTATATTTATCCAATCTTATCACTTTATTCCTTTTCATAATAAACAGTCTCTAAATAGTAAACATCTTTTCGCAATTAAAATTAATATTTTTTCACAATAATTTGAAAATCAATTAATTAACAAATTCTGCTCTTGATTTTTATGAAGTAATATAATACTTCTTTGTTTGTTGGGGCCAATAAAATGCTTTATTCCGACAGTTTTATCCTTTGGGAAAAAAGAGCTCACTTATTTCTTTCTCACGAAAGAGAATAACACTTTTTTAAAGTTAAAGACAAAAGTTTATTATTCTTTGGAAAAAATTAGGGAAAAGTCTCTATTGGAAATTTTATTGGTGAGAAGGATATAATAAATTTTGATGCACAAAATATTATTATTTTACAAAATTTGCGCGCACAAAGTACCATTAATCTGGTTTAGGCCTTTCTCACTAATAAAATTTTCAAATGGGACATTTTTTCGACTTTTTCATTATTCTCTTGTAATTGAAAAGCACATAATAAACTTAAAAAATAGTTTCATTAAACTATTACTCTTTCGGTCCTAAATACCCAAAACTATAAAAATGATTTTATATTTAGAACCGGAGAAATATTTAATAACTTTTGTACTACTCTTCCAGTCTTAAATATAATACCATTGTACAGTGACCCTTATACAGTGTGTATAAAGGTTTTATACTGTACAAGGATCTTATATTTAGGACCGGAAGAGTATTATTTATTGTTCTATAAGCCAGTTAATTTCAAATTAAGCACAACATGCGATTGATTCATCCCAAAATAATGAAATAATTAAATGTTTTTATTCCTGAAAATTGAATGCTATTTCTCCTTCTCCCACTTTCTAGTCCAAATTGAGAGATCAGAATCATACAAGACGTGTTTGGATGTCTATTTTAATAATGACGTGGAACCCATTATCCGCTTAAAACACGTTATAGAAGTTACTTGGAATCTTCCTATTTTTTTCCCTCCAGCGCAACAAATTATGCGGGATTTTGTTTGACCATTTTGCCCCGCACAAATATGCCTATCATGGCCAAAACAAAATCACTTGCCACTTCAACTCTACTCTTTTAAATGATAAATAGAAATTAAAGTGAACATTTTGAAAAATTGAGTCTAATAATATTTTAGTAGGATCATCTATTACCATACTCCTTCTGGCTTTTATTATAAGACATCTCTAACCATCTTGTCAAAATTAAAGATAGGTCATTGGGTGATTAACGTTGTTTTAAAATAGAAGAAACTTCCAAATTTATCAGTATTCAAGAAGTAATATAAGCTGCAATCAATAAGATTTTAAATAGGAAGAATTTTGGAGAAATAATTAATACTCTATTTAATGATTTATAATAATTCATTTCTCTTGAAAGGTGCCCTATAATGAATTTAGTAGTAAAGAAATTTTTCTTTTCAATCATTTTTATTTGTTCTCAACATGAAACAAGAATTTTAACTAATTATCATACTACTTGGAAAATTTGATTTTGAACTCTTGCATTCAATAAAATAGAGCAAGTATATACGCTATACTACCTCCAATCCTTAATATAGAATCTCGTTTAACTTTTATTTTGGTCCTAAATATAAGACCCCGATCCACTTTGTCTCTAATATTTTTATATTTTTTCCAAGATAGTCCTTCTAACAATAATAGTTCTAACTAATATACTTGATTAGCAAGAATATTTTAGGAAAAACAACATCTATTTATGACAAATAACTAACTTAACTTCTTTTCTTAATCTCCTCAAATTAGTCAACTAGCTCTTATAATTAGGATCGGAGGTAGGATTTGATAAGAAATACAGATAAAATAAATAATAAAAATCATAATAATAAGGCATGCTACGTAAACTAATTTTATAATACTCTTCCGGTCCTTAATATAAGATCCAATTGTTGAGTTGGTTTTGGTCCTAAATATAAGACCCATTTCTTATATTTATCAATTTTTTCTAAATTACCCCTATAAATACTCCATCAACTATAATTAAGTAGAAGAGGAAGATGAGGTATTAAGAAAGATGATTATGGTATTTTAGGAAAAACATGTCACATTTTTTATAATTAATTAACTTACTTAACTTTCTTAATCTAATCAAATTAGTTAAATAGGTCTTATATTAAGTACCGGAGAAGTACTTTTTATTTAAATACATGAAAGTATAGATATAGAGTATAAAATCCAATTAAATCACGCCTAAAAAGACCAAGTCGTTGTACTAACTTGTAAGAAAAGACTGGAACAATAAAAAAATAAATAAATGGAATAATCAAATGAACTTGTGAGTGTAAAGTACAAATAACTTTGCTTGTTGAGAGATGGAGCAGTTGGATTATTTGGAAGAAACTGGGTATTGGCCGACAAAAGGGTTGGCTTATTTAGTGCTTTTCAATTTTTTTCTCAATTTGATTTAAAGAAATTAAATTATTTTTAAAAAAATTCTCAAGGGACTTTTTATATGTCATTTTCATGATAGCTTTGGCATTAAGTAAGTACTCCAAAAACACTGAGAAATTGGAAAAGCTAAAAGCTACAGACACAGAATATTACAAATATTTTTTTTAAAATTTCTAAAAAAATAAATGAGACACAAGAAATAATTGAAAATTTTTCCCGCTTCACTGCCACTTTGCGCAGGCCCATTTAAGAAGGTCAAGTATGGCTGGAGCCTAGAGGTGCAAGATTGGGAAGACAGGGAACGTGGCCACGTGGCAAGGAGTGTGGTGGACTTCTGTCTGAGTGGGTCCCACAGATCTTCGGCCGTCCAATCTGAATAATCTGAAATCTTAAAAATAGCAGCCCCTGCTCTGTCGTTTTACTGGCACAACGTAATCTACATGCATGTTCAAACCACACTCTTACTTTCTTTATTTCATTCACGATGGCAACCCAAAAAAAAAAAAATCATCCCATCAAGTATTAGTATTTATAAGTACTTTTAATTTTAATTAAATCGACGTAAAACTCTCCACACACATTTATTTTATATTCCATAAATTATGATTGAGGACTCACTTATGATGGTTTATAAAAAACTTTTCAGTCATAATTTATAAGATATGAAGTGTGATTCATTAGATATGAACTTAGTATGTGAATGAGTGATTTATATGAAATATGCTCATAAGTGATTCTAAATGGGGCCTGAAAAGCTGCTTTTGAAGACTTCAATCACTATTCCAAATAAGCTAGCTCTATATGCTTGCTAAATATAAATTGCTTTTTTAAAAAAATAATCTATTCATAATATTTGTACTTTTTTTTTTATAAGAATCAAAATGCATTAATAAAATAATAAAACCAACAAAATTAAGTCATAAGAACAAAAAAAATTTCAACTTTAAAATGGGAAAAAGAGAAGAGTTGTTAATGAATTATTTTAAGCACTCACCTTACTACAATTTATTGAGAAAATACTTGAAATCTAATATAATATTTTCCGATGCACTTAAATATGGGTAAAATTAAAAGTATATTTTATTTCTAAACAAAGTTAACAAGTTAAGAGTCTCTTTTATATTCTCATGAATTCCTCATGAATTTATTAAAAGTGACTCAATATGAATCATATGGAGTATACACACACAGTAATGTTAAAAAAAGCAATTAAATTATAATACATTACCATGGCTATACAGTAATCAAATTGTGATTTTGAATCATAAATAAATTAACATATTTTAAATAATACTCCTCTGGTCCTTAATATAAGACCTATTTAACTAATTTGATTAGATTAAAGAAGTTAGATAAGTTAGTTAATTATAAGAAAAGTGACACATTTGTCTTAAAACACCATAATCATCTTTCTTAATACTCCCTCTCTCTCTTCTATTTGATTATAGTTGAGGAAATATCTATAGGGGTAATTTAGAGAAAATTGATAAATATGAGAAATGGTCTTATATTTAGAACCAAAACTAACTCACTAATTGGGTCCTATATTAAGGACCGGAGGAGTATATTTTTATTTTAACAATTTAACCCTGCCCTCATAAGGAAGGGGATCTATCATATGCACAAACCCATCCCATTTTTTTCTACTTTGAGGATAGAATTTATACCTTCCTCTCATAGATGTAAAGCTGTTTGGGATAAATAATACTCTTCTGGTCCTTAATATAAGACTCATTTAACTAATTTGATTAAATTAAGGAAGTTAGGTAAGTTAGTTAATTATAAGAAAAGTGACATATTTTTTCAAAACACCATAATCATCTTTCTTGATACCCCTCTCTCTTCTACTTAATTATGACTGAGGGAGTATTTATAGGAGTAACTTAAAGAAAGATGATAAATATGAGAAATGAGTCTTATATTTAGGATTAAAACTAATTTAACAATTAGGTCATATATTAAGCCGGAAGAGTACATACTTAAAGTTAGATAAATAATTGGTCGTGCTAGTAAAAAACGTAATTTAGCTAATCATTTGAAATTATCTTTTACAAACCTAAGAAAAAAACTTTAAAAAAATACTTTCATCCAAATTAAGATACAACTTTTTTTAATTATCTTGTACATTGTAAAATTATTACCTTCAGTCTTAATATAAAAACTCATTTAATTTTTATTTTGGTTATAGATTTAATACTCCAATATATTCTGTCTTTTATATTTATCTATTTTTTTCTAATATAATCATTATAATAATAGTAGTTCTAGTCAATACACTTAATTAATAAAAATATTTTTAAAAAATAATACCTATTTATTTTAAATAATTAATTTAACTAATTTTTTTAATTTACGTATATTAATTAATTAAGTTTCATATAAAAAAGAGGAGGTAATAGGTGAATGTCCCATCCAACCACCCCACCTCCAAACACAAACGTGGTCAGTTTTGGCCGGCTGCAGCCACTGTTTTTAGTCACACTGACGATGCTGAGGTGGCGATTAGGCTCTTAATTTTAGGACCCACCACGTAGGACGTCGTGGGACCCGCCTTCTTCTCTAAACACTTGACATGACAGCTGCTCTTTTCACTTTGTCAGACTCTTCAGCCAATCATAAAAATAAAAAATATGAACCCAAATAATATTTTAATTATAATAATGAAATAAAAGTTCTGAATATCAGTTTTTTTTAACCAAAAAAATCAATTTTTGAGACAATGGTTTCTAAAAATACATCTGGTATGCTATGGTTGAGAATTGAAATAATAATACCGAATGTTTCATTCTTATATTTATTAAATAAAATCTCCAAAACTTCTGATTAAGTTATGAGATTGTGAATCATAAAAACTAAATATATTTTGTTGTCAACAAAATATTTGAAAATGAATCACATTATTTACCTTTTTAATAATTATTATATTAATAAAAAATGAAAATTCAGATAATAAATATCTAAGACTGTTGCCTAAATTTAGAAAACAAAATCTTAAGAAATCAGGTAAAAATTGCGGAACATGAAGCGGATTTTTCTGAAAATATAAATAAATAGTAAAAGGAGGCCCCGGAAATTTCTGACAGTGGAAATTTGGAATTGAACGAGGGAAGGAGGGACTAGAGAGAGAGAGGGATGTGAGAGAAAGAGAAAGATCTCGGTTGCCAAATTGCTAAAATCCTGTAATCTTTTTATCTTAAAAAAAAAAAAAACCCTGTAATTCTCTCTCTTCATCGAGACTTTTTCTCTCTAGTCTGTCTTCTTCATCTTCCTCGATCTGCAACTCTTCGCAGCTGCCACCCTCTCTCCTACATTGCTCGGGTTTTGTCCGTCCTGAAGATGGTCGGGGGCCTCGAACTTCGGTGCGTTCTACTTTCGTGATTTTGAGGATGATTTTTTGTATTTTCAAAATTCAAAGTTCTGCCTTCTGAGCGGCCTTGTTCTTGTCAAATGTTACTTTTTCCAATTTGAAGCGTTTTGAGTACGGGGAATCCAAGCTTGCATTAGGATCAATTAGTTGCTTTATTTGGATTTCTTTTGCTCCTTTTGTTTCTTTCTTTGTATCTTTTTTTTTTTTAACCAAAAAAAAATTGGTTATGTTTCAAAGAGATATCTTTGTTTTTTGTTTAAAGGAATCAGCTCACCAATTTGATTTCTCCCGAATTGTAGACCTGGAAATGGAAATGAGTATCAAAGGTTTTGGAATTCGGTGACATTGATCTTCTTACGATCTTGGCTGTGGCAGTAGCTGTAATAGCTCGCTCTCTCGTCAGATTTTCCTGGTTCTTTTCATATCATTTTTCTTTTAACTTTCTAGATCATCTTTCGAAATTTCTTGTATATATGCGGGGAATTGAATGCTAATTTCAATAGGTGTTATTTGATCTGATTTGACCTATTTCAGTTGTTGCCCACGAAATTATATTTCTTTATATATTTATGTTGAATTTGACATATCGTTGTTTCCGGCAAATTATCGTGTTTATGTGCGAAAATTAATCACATCAATATGTTTGTGACTTTGTAGGTTATAGATGAAGAAATTTGGTACAAGGGGCGCATTTAATTGTTTGTTGGAAGCAAGATTTTAGGGGACTCCTTGAGCTGAAATTCAGCTAAATGGCTCGCGGGAGAATAAGGGCAAGGATACGAAGGAGCAATCTTTACACATTTGCCTGCCTTCGACCCAGAACCACTGAGGAGGGGGCCCATTCCCTTGAAGGCCCAGGGTTCTCACGAACTGTTTATTGCAACCAACCTCATCTCCATGAAAAGAAGCCTCTACATTACTGCAAAAATCATATATCAACCACAAAATATAATGTTATCTCATTTTTGCCCAAGGCTCTCTTTGAGCAATTTCGACGAGTTGCTAATATATATTTTCTTTTGGCTGCATGCCTCTCAGTTTCTCCAATTTCACCTTTCACACCAGTGAGCATGATTGCTCCTTTAGCATTTGTTGTGGGGCTTAGTATGGCAAAGGAGGCACTGGAAGATTGGCGGAGGTTTCTTCAAGATATCAAAGTTAATCGTCGGAAGGTTAGTGCCCATAAAGGCGATGGTGTTTTTTGACTTGAAGGCATGGCAGAAGATAAGGGTTGGAGATGTGGTAAAAGTAGAAAAGGATCAATTTTTCCCTGCTGACTTGCTTCTGTTGTCATCAAGTTATGATGATGGTATATGCTATGTTGAAACTATGAATTTAGACGGTGAAACGAACTTGAAAGTGAAGAGATCATTGGAGGTTACCTTGCCTCTTGATAATGATGACGCTTTTAAGGATTTTACTGGTACAATGCAATGTGAAGACCCAAATCCCAATCTTTACACATTTGTTGGTAACATTGAGTACGAACGTCAGGTTTATCCCATTGATCCTATTCAAATTCTTCTCCGAGATTCAAAGCTGAGAAACACTGACCATGTCTATGGGGTGGTCATTTTCACTGGTCATGACAGCAAAGTGATGCAGAATTCTACAAAGTCCCCTTCAAAAAGGAGCAGAATAGAAAAGAAGATGGATTATATCATATATCTCCTTTTCACGGTCCTTATTTTAATATCTATGATAAGTTCCATAGGATTTGCTATAAAAACCAAGTTTCAAACTCCAGACTGGTGGTACCTACGGCCCAAGGAAGCTGAGTACCAATATAATCCCAACAATGCTGCCTTGGCTGGGATGAGCCATCTTATTACTGCGCTCATTCTTTATGGATATTTGATACCCATATCACTCTATGTGTCAATTGAGCTTGTGAAGGTTCTACAAGCAAGCTTCATCAACAAAGACTTGCAAATGTTTGATGAAGAAACTGGGACTCCAGCTGATGCACGAACTTCAAATTTGAATGAAGAGTTGGGTCAGGTAGACACTATCCTTTCTGACAAGACTGGCACTTTAACCTGCAATCAGATGGATTTTTTGAAATGTTCCATTGCTGGTACGGCATATGGGTGCACTCCAGTGAAGTTGAACTCGCTGCAGCAGAGCAGATGGCTTCTGACTTTCAGGGGCAGGAGTCAGATCTCTCTAATTTTCCCATGCCTCAGAATAAAGCACGTGGTTTGAGTGACAGTAATAGAATAGGTGAAGAAATTGAAATGGAGCCTGTTGTTACCTCTAAGAGTGATGAAAATAAAAAGCCTGCAATAAAGGGATTTAATTTTGAGGACAACCGGATCATGAACTGCAACTGGTTGAAAGAGGCCAATCCTGATGTTCATTTGTTGTTTTTCCGGATATTGGCAGTTTGCCATACTGCCATTCCCGAGCTGAATGAGGAGACTGGCAGTTTTACATATGAAGCTGAATCACCTGATGAGGGGGCTTTTCTTGCAGCTGCCAGAGAATTTGGTTTTGAGTTTTGTAAAAGGAATCAATCGAGTATTTTCATCCGTGAAAGACTGTCTCCTTCTGGACATCCAGTTGAAAGGTGACATGGTCATATATGAACTCCTTTGTGTCTGTCATTTTCTCTTTATCTCTGCTTTTCTACAGAAAAGGAGGGTGGGGGGTGCTGGGAGGAGAGGGGTTCAATATATGCTCATACATCTTTCAGCTCTTTTAGTTGTTGTATCATTATTATTTAAATCTGTTTTGGTGGGGTTTTGATGGATTATGCAGGGAGTACAAAATCCTGAATTTGTTGGACTTCACTAGTAAAAGAAAACGGATGTCTGTAGTTGTACGTGATGAGGACGGAAACATTCTTCTCATGTGCAAGGGGGCAGACAGGTTAGATTATGGAATCTGTGTTTCCTGTCCTAAATACTGACAGCTGAATGTATGATGTTTGCAATCAAGTAGGGCCTATGATCAGCATTTAAATTATGATGGGGGAAGTTTGAATCCTCTTGAAGCTTGGCAGGGTTTAAACTTCCCTTCTACTAGTTTACATGATTAATCGCAGTAACTCCTGACTTCCTAATGAGAAGTTCGCTGACATGAACACACACTTCTGCACAGATTTTCAACATTTCTCTTTAAACTTTGCCATTCATATTCTGTCCTCTTTGTGGCTTTGTAGTATTATATTTGATCGATTGGCAAAGAATGGAAAAACATATTTGGAGGCTACTACTAGACATTTAAATGAATATGGAGAATCTGGTTTGCGAACACTAGCCTTGGCTTATAGAAAACTTGATGAGCAAGAGTACTCTGCTTGGAATAATGAATTCCAGAAAGCCAAAGCAGCTGTTGGGTCTGACCGAGAGGAAACACTTGAACGGTTATCAGATATAATGGAGAGGGAGTTGATTCTTGTTGGAGCTACTGCTGTTGAAGACAAACTGCAGAAAGGGGTAGGTTTTGTCATTCCTTATAGTCAATATGCATATGTTACTGTTGGTCTACTTAAACCAATTTTCACTTTATTGTCCTTCTCAGGTGCCCCAGTGCATGACAAACTTGCACAAGCTGGTCTTAAGATCTGGGTGTTAACTGGAGATAAGATGGAAACTGCAATCAACATTGGGTCTGTCTACCGCACAACTACATCGCTGTTCTGAACTTGATGAAAATTGCCTCTATAAACAAGTACAATTAACTTTTTTTATCTCTGTGTGCAGATTTGCTTGTAGTTTGCTTCGACGGGGCATGAAGCAGATATGTATAACTACTATGAACTCAGATTCATTAACCAACGGTGGAAAAGAGGTATTTGTCACTGACAAAGAATAGAGGAATTAAATTAACGGACTTAAGTTCATCTGATCTCAACTTAAGTCCTTTTATTGCTCAGGCCATCAAGGAGAACATTCTGAACCAAATCAGCAATGCCTCACAAATGATCAAGCTGGAGAAAGATCCCCATGCTGCATTTGCATTAATTATTGATGGTAAAACTCTGACATATACATTGGAAGATGATATGAAGCACCAGTTTCTGGGATTGGCAGTAGAATGTGCATCTGTCATCTGCTGTCGCGTGTCTCCCAAGCAAAAGGCTCTGGTAGGATCTTTTCTCCTTTGCCACTTGTGCATATAAAAGGCACACACTCACACATGGATATTCTGCATCTGGATAGTTGATACTTAGTATGAATACTGCTACTACTATAACACTGGTTAGGGTCACAAGTGTGTTCAGCTACACCATTTATTTATTTGAGATGAATAGGAAAAAGTTAAGGCCAATCAAAGCAAATATTTTCAGGGATTCAATCGTGCAGAGTTGTGACTGCAATGTCTAATAATCCTTTGGCTTCAGGTAACAAGGTTGGTGAAGGAAGGAACTGGGAAGACCACTCTAGCAATAGGCGATGGTGCAAATGATGTTGGCATGATTCAAGAAGCGGATATTGGTGTTGGTATTAGTGGAGTTGAAGGTATGCAGGTTAGTGACATACCTGACTGGCAGTTCTGGCACGATTATGTCAGGAGGAGTTTTTGCTGCATTTATTTGTATTATAAAATATAACTGTTATTGTTGCAACATCATGTGCTTCACTCTTGATATTTTTTAAAATGGGAATTAGTTAGAGAGAATACCTAACTATGATGGTTGTTTACATGTTTGGGATATGATGTTTGTTTACATGCTTCACTCTTGCTTGCCCATTAGTTAAACTATTAACCTGTCATTAGCACTTTAACAGTCAAGACCTGATTAGCGACTTTTAGTCATGTGTTTTTTTGTCCTTCACTGAAATGTCAAATATTCATTTTTCAATGTTTATTTAGAAAATAAACATTCAGACTGGCCTCGAACTGATGTTTAAAATTTTGATAGTGAGAATTATATTGAAAAGCAATTTCTCTTTATGCTGTTTACTCAAAATTGTTGTTCTTGCTTTGAAATGAGCTGCATGGAAAGTGTCATCTGATCACATTTTAAATTAAGTTATATTTTTCTTTCATAAGAGAACTGGCTAGCATTTCTGGAAGCAATTTTCAGTGTTACGTTAATAGTCTCATGTAGAGTAAGAGTACTATAGTTCAAATTTAGGACCCAACCGTGAATACTCTTTAATTCTCACTTTCATCCTTGGCTGCCTGGTAAGAAAATTCACATAAAAGCTTTTCTGTGGAAGCATGTGAACATTTGGAGTTTGTGAGACTAAAAATTGGAACTCCTTTTCAGGCAGTGATGGCCAGTGACTTTGCCATTGCCCAATTTCGGTTTTTGGAGCGTCTTCTGGTAGTCCATGGACACTGGTGTTACAAGAGAATTGCACAAATGGTATTCATGTTT